TTCCACAGGGAGACTTCTCATAATCAGTACTGTCACAATCGGCCTTCATGGCTGCAAGATGTTTTTCACAAATACCTGTTTAGTGCAGTAGTAGTTGTGATGCCCTTTGCTATTAAAAAGGAGACTTTAAAAGAAGAAAAACTGAGCCTTACGGGCTCATTACGAAACAGACTCCTCGGGTGTAACTGCCTGTAGTTCTCCACACACTGTTTAAAACTTCCAGCATTGACTCGAGCGAGAAATGAAAGCTCTTTAAAGAGCTGTCATTTGAGTAATTTCAAAGGTACACAAAGAAAAGTAATGGCACGTGTCTTCAGTATTTAATAATTGTAAGAAGCAGATAGTATCTCCAGCAAAATAACATCACAAATGAGGTAACTTAAATAGAAACTAGAGGAGGTGGTGGTGTGTTTTTGAGGTGGCTTTTCCAAAGCAATTGCAAAGGAAGATTGCGTGAGGAGGGAAAGGGGAAGAGCCAGAATAGGTTAGAATGCTATACAAAAATACTGTTAGGAGATCAGAGGAGCTATGTTTCCTTTGGGTAATTTCTGTTCTGGGGGTGTAAAGCAACCTCCTGGTGTAGGAGAGGGATTATGGTGAGTGGATCCTTCACACTGCATTGCTTCATTGCAAATCACCCTTAAATCAAGCTTCAACAGCCACATTATAGTGCTGAAACATCACCGTTGTGGTGTACAGAAGTGAAATACATGTAACCATCAGGCTTTCAGCAGGCTCGTCTGTGACACAGCAGATAATGTGCCAGTTGTGGCATCTACCCCTTGCAGGAGTTTAGTTCTTAGCTGTGTATTGTAATACTTGGCTTAGCTTCATGGGGAATGTCCTTGGGGGGTTCTGCATCTCTTGACATCTAGAGGGAGAGATTCTAGTTATGTCTGTAGTAAACATACCATAGTAACAGTGTTTCTTAAGCCTTGCAAGGAATGCACTTCCTTTCTCTGCCGGAGGACTCGGTGAGCTGTCTCATTAGCTCCACCAGAACCTCTCAGTCTTTCAGCTTTTTCAGTCAGCAGGAATCCTGCTGCTCACAGGCCAAAATGGGGGAAACAGGAATTCATGCTTTGTTTTAAGTGATGTTTCTAACTTCAAGCCAAGGAGGTACACTTGTGTGTTCTAAAGCAGAGAATGGAAGAGCCACTGAATGCCTCACCATGGCGTTAATCTGTCTACGTTGAAACTCCTTGTTGAGCCTTGGATAGGCTGGTGTTCAGTGGTCATCTTTCCTTTTGTTTTCAATTTGTTGAGGAGCATTTATTGTGGGTATGCTGGAGCTACTGATGAGAAGGACCGGAGCCACCACTGTGCAAAATACAGTGGTCAGTGTGTGTGTGCTAGGCATTGACCGCGTCTTCAAGTTGTTTGTGGACTCCAAGGCCAAGCAATTTGAAACCCGGTGTCTGAGAGAGAATACCTGCTTCATTTCATATCCCACCAGCTTGCTGAGCTCTGGTACCTGTTCAGAAGTTAAATTCCACATACAATGCCATACTGCCCTCTGAGAAGAGTCCATGTTTCTGTTAACTCTTCCAAACATACACTTCCATGCTTCCATAGCTATCAGAAGGAAGGGTGAGCTTTGGGCTGTGCTTATGTGAAGTAAACAGAAGAATGAGCTGCCAGTGGAAGAGGCAGTCCTGCTCCTTCCTCACGCTCAGCTGGGAACTCCTGTGCATTGGATCCCAACCCGTGCAACAACACAGTGAGTTGGTTCAGCTGAATTACATGGCAGCACATTAATGTTGTCACTAAACCTCAAAGCTTCGTAGGAGAAAAACTGATTCCTCATAATCAAAATAGGATAAGAAGTTTTTTGTGTTAGGTTCATCTGCAGCCCTCACAGCTTATTTGCCTATGTAGGGATTAAGTAGTCTTGATTCTTTGTCAGAGTGTGCCCACTCTTTGATGGTGTCCTTCAAACAGCAACATGTCCTCCAAACCTGAACATGTAGTTGGCAGATGTTGCAAAGGGCTTAATTTCCTACACATAACTAAACTAGTCCATACAAAACCTGTACCAGCGATTCCTCTAATCAAGTACTGCTCGGTAGACAGTTTTAATTAGTATAAATGAGTGTTGTACTTTGAAACTGTTACACTTTCATGAAGCTTAGCAAATGTCTGAGTATTTTCTGTTGGCTAAAGCAGCACAGAATTGCATCCCTTCCTTTGGAAACCTTTCTAATCAGCCACAATGTCAACTTGCAGAATAAAGGATGCTTCTGCATCTTTCTTCACAGACACTTGCTGATTCTGCTGCCCTGGGAACTTTGGTCTACATTTGCACTAGTACCTTGTATCTATTTTACAAGTACTTCTTACTATGACATTGGTGTTTGTGACAGCTTTGTGGTGTGGATATAGTTCTCGCACATGCATCATATGATTGACCCAAAGCATCCAGATTGTGCTATTTTTAGTTTTATCAATGTAGTTCTTGATAATGAATTTGAACTGACCATTAAAAAAAATAGCACATAGGAGAAGAAAGAGAGATTTAGAATTTCACATTCTGTACTTGTGTAAACCGAAAGAACCAAGGCACAGAGGCCTGGATTTTGCTGTCATCATTCTGAAACCCGAGCCGTGCTGTCCTGCCTTTCCCTGATGAGTCACAGGAACGTGCTCCTGTCCAACCTGCGCGGAAAGGTGCAGCGCTGCAAGGATCATGCAATAAACCAGGAAAAAGAGGGTGGAAGTAAAGTAATTCCTGCAGCGTTCTCACTGCACACATGTTGGATATTTGCCTCCTCTCCATTCAAGACTAGTAAAGTAGAATCATAGGAATAGTTCCTAATCCCCTTCTTTCCCATGGGATTGCCAAAGCGCTCCGAACAACTAGAATAGTGTTGGTGCTGCAGGAGAGAGTGGGAGCACAAGGAGAGACAATGTGGGTCACACAGAAGGTCTCTCTAGGTGGGTCTCTACAGTGACCAAGATGGGTCTCCAGGGAAATCCATGGGAATAGTGTGAGAGTGATAATTTAAAGTGTAGATCTTATGTGGAGGTTTATATAGAACTAGTTTATAAGTCTTCACATCCTTTGATTTAATGTGTTACGGCAACTGTTTCCATTTTACACTTCAAATACTTAAATCTCACTCAGAAATTCTCAAGGCTTCTACTTGTAAAATGCTTCTAGAAAAGAAAATCAGGATAAATATGTAGTGGTTATGGGTCTTGTGGCTGCTTCTCCTTGTGTTCCAGCAGAAGTCCAGCACCCACCCTTGTACTTAGCTGTACAAAAGTTCATCTTCACTGCAGGTTTTGGTGTTTGCGGTGAAACCACCAGCAGCAAGAGCCCACTTAAAGAAACTGGGGTGAAGAGTGTCATTCTGCTGGAAACATATGCAAGTATCTGGGGGCACCCAAGCTTTAGGTATGGGAGAAGGTTGCAAGGCCATTTCCTCCTGAAATGAGAATCCAGTTATGACTCATGAGCATTCCAAGTCTTCCCAGTTTGAGGGGTGTTTCCATTGGAACCTTGCGCTGACCTGTGGGGTTGCATGAACTGGACTTCACAGGAGTGCTTTCTCCCCTTGCAGTCCATCTTGGAGGAGAGACTGGACAATGCAGACCCAGCCCAGTAATTTCTGCTCTTGTTATAGCAGATCTGGAAGGTGAAAAGGGACCATTTGGTCCTTAGTAAAGTTACCGATAGTTAAATTCCTGGACCTTTTCCAAGAACTGTCCTGTGTTTTGTAACTAGGGCTTTGGGGCTATTTGATCAACAAACCCTCACTAGCTAAAACCATTAGATTGAAAATGAACCTGTTTACTGGTCAGTGATTATGTATGGATTTGTGAGAAGAAAGGCTTTCTGGGGAGAAAACTTGGCTTTTCCAATTGCAACAGTTGTATTTCAGGAGTTGCGTTTTGGTAGTTTCCTCAGAACCCTTCATCCTTTGAGCTATCAGGGTAAATGTGCTGGTGTTCTATTGTAACATTGGTGTGTTGTAAATGATGTGTCGTTTGCTCTGTGTGTGTGGTAGTTTTGGCTATTTTTGCTCTGTTGACTTGTTCCTGTCAGTGCCACAAGGTGGACAGATGAAACAAGGCTTCAAGAAATGCTTACTTGTCAAGTTGTGGGCAAATGTAACTTCAGCACGTGAAAACTGGAGCCATTACTTCTAAATCTTTTAGTCTCTAATGTGTATCAACTATTAACATTTAAACAAAATCAGTATGTTGTGAATGGAGTGATTTGAATGATGGTGGGAATTGGATCACAACAGCCTGAGTAGCAATATCAGTGTTTGATTACTTTATAGATCTAGAATTTAGCTAGGAACTGAATAGGAAGATCTAATAATGGTTTATGGCAATGTCATTAGTGTGATACGGATACTACCAACCAAGTGGATTATATGTGCAGATTTTCTAAGTAACTTCTGTGTTTTCTTGCTCATTAAAGTAAGAAATATGGGTGGAAGGGTTTCTTAAACTTCAGTGATGCAAAACTTAAGGTAGTATTAATGCAGTTTCAGATTCCTGGACTCTCCTCAGGTCAGCCTCTGTAATGAAGTGGTTCTGTGAAGCACCTTAAGGATTTTTCTGTTAAAATGTGGGTTGCATTGTGCCTTTTTCTTAAATTTGTGGAAGTCTGGGGTGTTTTGGAAGCTTCCCCCTCAGGAATCTTTGAAGGTGGTGCCTTATTTTCCTTTCAGTTTTCTTGCGTAGGTTATAAATAAAATTTAACCTGTAGAGCCAAAGTGGAACTCTTAAAGAAATTCTTCATTTTGCCTCAGAGGCACAGTATCTGAAGGATCAAAGACAAACTTCTTCAAAAGAAACTATATGAATCTCTGCATGGTTTTTGAAAGTACTTTTAAAATGCCAGTGAAAGTAAATCACTTGAATTGTCTACTTGACAGTTAAGCTCTGGAGATGTTATTTCACAGACTTCGTTATAGATTGGTACCTGCTCTTCATGAATAGGAGGTTATAAAGTTAAGCCTTTAATATCTTCTTTGTTCTAACAGCTCACAGGGAAGAGAAAAGGAATGAAGATAGAGCAGAGGCTGCACTGACATCAAAGAAAGCTGTTGCATCTGTAATGGAGAAACAGACATCTTCTCTCTCTAGAAGTCTTCCTTCGAAGAAGTCCTCCTCCTTCTCTAACACATCAGTAACTAAACAACCACTTAAACCTTCTGCTGCGAGTTTCAAAGGTGTCATTCCCAAGAAGCCTTGGCTTCCAGCAGGCAGTGTTTCTCCAGCAGGCAGTGTTCCTTCAAAGCATTCATCTCTTTCTCATGGCTCATCAGTTTCCAAAAAACCAGCTGCGTCTTCCAGCTTGGGTGGAGGACTCAGAAAGCCTTCACAGGCTTCCATTTCTACTGCATCTGGAAGCAGTCAAGGAAAGGCATCACCCGGCCCTATCCAGTCACAACCCAACTCTCAGATTCGGCAAAATATTCGACGATCCCTAAAAGAAATTTTATGGAAGAGGTGGGAATTCAAAGCACTTTTCTTATGTAGGAATCTACAACTAGAAGTAAATGTTTAGCCTGAAGAGTTTTGCTTACATCTTGATAAAGGGGTATTGAGGGATTGAATTTATACTGCAAATTACTGCAATTATAATTGGTATTTCAGGTGTACATTAGTAATGGTCTTTATTAAATAAATGTGAAAAAGCCTTTAGGAATAAAAAAAAAGATCCTCATCCCTCATCCATTTATAGTGAGGCAATTACAGTTGAATTAAATTATAGCATAGGGGCATTTTACAACGCAGGTGCTCTGAAGCTTTAAAATGAGGTGATGGTAGTGTTGGGGATGTAGAGGTTATAGGGGACATAGTATAGGAAATATCACAGTGAAAGGTTAGATGCTTACTGAAGTAGAGATTCCCTCCCAACATAAAAATCCACAACAACAAACCCAGCTCAGTGGACAGCTCTATCCCTTAGGAAAGACAAAAACAAAAAGCAAACATTCCCACAAGGATTATTAAAGCTAATGCCAGCTATTGAGGCTTATTACAGAGCGCTGCACTCTGGTGGTGTCTCTGAAGTGGAAATGCTGTTCACCACGGAGATTCTAGGACTAAGACTCAAGCACTTGAACCTCACTGAGGGAGGATAAGCCTAGGTTAGCTGTGTAAAGTTAGCTTTTAATAATGCTACCTGAAGATTCATGCCTAACATAAATGCACGTGCCCTTTCTGTTTTTAACAGAGTCAATGATAGCGATGATCTGGTCATGACAGAGAGTGAAGTAGGAAAAGTAGCACTCAATATTGAAAAGGAAATGTTTAACTTGTTCCAAGTTACGGACAACAGATACAAGAGTAAATACCGTAGCATCATGTTCAATCTCAAGGACCCCAAAAACCAGGTTTGGAATTTCCTTTAACAGTAAATGTATATATTGAAATAGACTTTGGTTTTTAGTATTTCAGACTCTGCCTTCAACATTGCCTTGAACATTTAGAGTTTCAAGGGGGAGAGACTTATAAATTACACTATAAAGGATTATTATAGAGCCATTCAAATACTAGAAAAAACTGTTTTAGCCAAGTAGAAGTTCAAAGTCTACATCAGTTGGTCGTGTGTATTTATTATGTGTGGGCATTTGGTGTGAAATACTTACTACACAATGGCTTTCTTTAAATACAGACTTTATTAGTTTCTCCTCTTGTGACATTCTCTACTGTCTGTTAGATACTGCCCATATACACGATCATCTTTATGCTTTAAAAGAAAAAAGCTGGTGCTTTTCACTAGAGAACACTTGAAATTTATTATGATTTTTTAATTTCTGCAATGGATATGAAACAGGAAGTGGCAAATTCTGACACTCCTGTTACATTGATTGTTATTGATAATGAGAAAAAAATCATACTTTGTGTATATTTCATCCTTATGTTCTGGTTACTGCACCTTTCCAAATTTGCTTGTAAGTAGCCAGTATCTGTAATAGTGAATTGAGAAACTGGAACAGCTTTTGCCTGTTAAGCCTTGCAAATCTTGTTAGTCACCTTAAGCAGTTTTTCTTCAGCATAGGAATAAAGTCTGTTCTGTTTTCAGGGACTCTTTCATCGTGTCCTTCGTGAGGAAATCTCACTGTCAAAACTGGTGAGAATGAAACCAGAGGAACTTTTATCTAAAGAGCTGTCTGTGTGGAAAGAGAAACCAACTAAACCAGTAAGTAACAGAATGTTCCCTTGTATCTTTAGTAGATACAAATTAAGAGTCAGTTCCCTAACCCGTATCACCCATATTACATTGATGCGCCATTTTCTCCCTAATGAAATATTAATAACATTCAGTTTCAGTACACTTTACCACCAGGTAACTGACAACAAAGTACAAAATAAAAGTCTAAATTTATACAATAACAAACTGGTTTTAATTTTTTCAGACTCCAGAGTCAAGAAGCAAATCTTATGAAGTCAAGAAAACAGCTGTAAAGCGGGAATATGTGCCACCTGTAAATATGGAAGATTCTCCACCAGTGTCTGATTCTGATGTAAGTATTGGCTGTTGCTTCAGCATGAAGACATTGAGGGATATAAATCAGGGCCTCCAGTCTCTCTCAGAAGTGCAGATTGTTTCAGTTAAGCTGTAAGGATATTCTTGCCTAGTAGGTGCGCCATGAGCATGTTTCTTTTAGTTTGAAAGAGTGCAACAACCAAATGATAGGCATATTTGGATGCACTTCTAAAATGCTGTGTATTTTTCAGCCCTGCTGTCAACTTACAGAGCAGTCCTTTATTTCTGAATAGTAGCTATCTACTCTTTAACATGTGGAGTGAAATGAAGACAAATATTATTTGAGAGCTCTGTCTGGCATGATATGCTTTAACTAAGACCTTTAATCTTTCTTTTAAAATAGTTGAAGTTAGTTACTGGTTTCCAAAGTATTTTTTCAGTAGCAGGAATTAATGATCAACTGGAATATCTTTTGTGTTTATTCACTTTTAGGAGCAGCAAGAGTCAACTCGAACTGCATCAAATTCAAACAGTGCTGCTTCTCTAGATGTGTTTAGCAGTATGCTGAAGGATACAACAAGCCAACATCGAGCTCATCTTTTTGACCTGAACTGCAAAATCTGTACAGGTACTACAGTGCTGACTTTGTGCAAAGTAAAAGAATGGTTATGTTAAGAGTAATGTGTTTGTTTTTCTCTAAGCTATTTCATTGTTGAATAGTAATCAAAAACTTTTGAAATCAATTTATAGGTCAGATTTCAGCATCCGAAGATGAAGGGCCACCTAGGAAAAAATCAGTGGCTTCTGTTAAAAAGGTGGAGTCAAAATCAAAGCCAGAAGCTCAGCCAAAGTATGAAAGTTCTGCACCAGCCTCAGCAGCAGAGCTTACCACAGAGGCCAGCTCTGAAAACGCAATGGAAATTGAAGATGAACCAGTAGCAGAAACAGTTCCTCAGTCAAGCGCAGAAAGAGCAACTCACATTCCTGCAACCGAGGCCCCAACCGATGCAGATTCCTCTGTACCTGAAGAGGTCTCTGCTTTTCCTGCCGCTTGTGCTGGCATAGTTGTCACAACAGTAACAGTTTCAGGCAGAGACCCCAGGACAGCAATGAGCAGCTCCTCTGGTATTGTGACCCCAGCTCTGCGTTCTGCTCCTGCCTCTGACAAAGTTTCAACAGTGGAAACAAAACAGGAAACTTCAAAACCAATTATGACTGTCCCCAAATCAATATTGACAAAGCCATCATCCTCACCAGATCCAAGATACTTAGCAGTTCACCACTCACCCAATGTCAAGTGCGTATACTTTATAGTAATCCAAGCTACCCAGTCTTTAACGTGGTTATCTTCAACATCCCGTGGGTCCCGTGTCCCATTCTCCTCCTCCCTGTTAAAAGGCATGGTCAGTGTTAAAGTTCAGGTAGCCTGATTCAGGTTTTTGATTTAGCATCTCATAATTTACCATCTCTAGTTGGTAAAGTTTTCAGACCATCAGCAGATAAATAAAGCAAGGTATTATGCAGTCTTGAAGTCTGCATGTACATTAATATAGAGGAAGTTAGTATATGTGACTCTAAAATCAGTCCTAGATTATTATTACCCTATATTAAAATACTTCTACATCTGAATTTATGAATTAACCAATTGACCAGCTTGAAAGGAGGTGGATTTCTTCCATATTCTGGGTATACACAATAGTCAACATAAACATTAAGTATATCCTTATGCAGCTGCAGTTAAAAGTTTTTTGTTTGTAGCCAGTTCTTTTACTTGAGAACCTCAGGTGTATATTCTTAACCCAATTAGTGGGAAATATACAGTTCATACTAGTTTATTATAGAGTCAGGATCACAATAGTTACAGTGCTAATATGATTTTATAAAGTAATGTGTTTTGTCATCTTTTTTCCTGTCTGCAGCTGTAAGTGCATTTACTGTTACTCATTGCTTTTTTCACTAATAGCAAGTTAATGGAAAATGTTAAAGCATTTAGTAATAAATCTGTTGTTTAAAATAAAGTAGTTGATCAATAGAAGGAGGGAGGAAAAGAAAAAGGTTTCATTCTCATTTGCGTTCTGTAACCTCTCTGTTCTGGATTTGTTTTGCAGTGTTGCAGAGCCACGCTCACCTCAGGACAGCGACACTTCCCTCTTTCTCTCTCGTCTCAACACCATTTGGAAAGGATTTATTAATATGCAAAGTGTGGCCAAATTTGTCACTAAAGCATATCCTGTCTCCGGGTGCTTTGATTATCTTAGTGAGGTTAGCACTGATGTGTTTATGTGTTGAGAATAAATCTACTGCATCTCCTGTTGCTAGAAGGGCTGGGGTCACTACATAGGTGTTACATTAGAACTGTAGCAGTGGTAAATGGCATCCCTTTTGTAATAGGTGGCTCAGGCTAGAGGGGTCACTGATGTGATCTGTTACAGAAGTTTGCTTGGCCATTTATGAAATATATCGTGCTTTTTAATACCTTGCAACTGAAACCAGTTGGATGCTATTAGTCTGGGGAGAGCGTACATTGAAGTAATGAGACTGTATAAAGGTTTGAGCTAAAACAAATAAGCTTTTCTTTCCGTTTCCTCTGAAGCTTATTTTATGTGACTGTTAGGAATTTCAAACACAAATGTGTGGTTTTGGACTTTTATTAACAGGGTGGGTGGTTCTCTTTGATACTGCTTTTGCTAAACTGAGTTTCACAGTCCCCATGACAGGAAGCTCATTAGAATTCATGTGACAAGTGCAGCATTTCCTGAGAAACCGGAAGAGTGGAGGAAAGCTCTATTTCAGATGGCAGCTTCCCTATAAAAACAAAGCCAGTAATGGGCATACAGAACTAGTTTACATTTTTGCTGCTGTCCTTGTTTGGGAGTGCCTTTTCTTTTCTATGTATACCATTAGCCTCTTGGTCATTGAACACTTTGATATTTAGGAATAGCCTGTCTGAAGTTAGAAAAGTATGTATGAAAGTTTCCCACAATATAATAGTGCATTATCCACTGGGCTGCTGGGATGGGGCAACCTGCTCTGCTTTTAAACATCAGCCTCGTTTGTTTTTTCTCATGCTATCATGTAATACTTCTCGTTTAGGATTTGCCAGATACAATTCATATTGGTGGGAGGATCTCACCGAAGACAGTCTGGGACTATGTTGGCAAACTCAAATCTTCACTGTCTAAGGTATTCACTTAAAATCCTTTGCAAAACCCGGAAGAAAAATACAGCAATATGAAATAAGAACTTTTTATAATGAGTAGACAGCAAATACTGACATAGCTGGAAAACTACCCACACCACTTACTCCTTTGACACTTTGATTCATTGAAGAAATACTAGTATAGAGCTGCAGATCCTCTTGATCTCTCTCTCCTGCATATTAGTTAAAATCTTCATACTGTTTATTAATTTTTAATGTTGAGCATTAATTATTCAGTATTGAAGATTAAAGCCCGAATTTTAACTTTAATGGATTTTACTATTAAAAATACTTCAGAAATGAAAAAAATGAGACCCTGGATACAAATATAATAACCACACAAAGAATTTCCCCTTTCATTTGTGTTAACTTGAGCCTCAAGAAGGTTAGTTTGATGTAAGGTACACAAGTAACTTGTATTTCTGAAAATGGCAAGCCTAATTCTGTTTTAATATTACAGATACAACAAGAGTTCTCTCTTAAAGCCACAGTATTGCCTTGTTGAAGTGATAAATGCACAGTTATTTTTTACCCGCTGGAATTTTTCCTTTACTATTTTATTTGCTGGTATATTGCAGCTTGAATTTTTCCACTTTGCTTTTGTATTACAGGAATTGTGTTTGATTCGTTTCCATCCTGCAACAGAAGAAGAAGAAGTTGCCTATATCTCTCTCTACTCCTATTTTAGCAGTCGTGGTCGTTTTGGTGTTGTAGCTAATAACAACAGACATATCAAGGATCTCTACCTGATCCCCCTGAGTACTAAGGACCCAATTCCTTCCAAACTGTTGCCCTTTGAGGGACCAGGTAAGCACAAAACAGGGGAGGTTAAATGCTAGGTAAAATCACCACACAAAAGTCAATCTAAGACAAATTGTTGAATGTTTAATGTAAGTGTTACTAAATTTTTTTCTCTATAAAACCAATTTTAAAAGTATCTAAATAGGGAATAATTGGAAATCCAACTCTGGTTGAGATAAAATTATCTGAAAATTCCATAGCTTTTTCCAACAAGATGCTTGTATACTAATAAGAGGATGAGTTTACTTATAAAATCAACTAAACCCAGCCACATTAGTGGAAAAAATAACCAAAATAGCACCCCCACATGCCCTGTCTTCATCAACCCATGAATCCACAAAACCAAGGCCCTTACAAGCCATTCAGTGTTACTTCAACCAACCAGGAAGTGTAAGCTACAGAGGAGTCAAGAAATCGTTGAAGACAAAGGTAGTATCTGTAGTGGTTTCACTACTCTGTTGTTGTCTTATGCTGATTATTAATCTGTACGTGCAGTATGGTGCACAAGGGGTTTGTAATGTTTTATTCTAGTTGGAGCAAATTCTGGCCAAATCACTGACTTCTCAAAATTGATTTGTTGGGGGAAAAGGGGTTCATATTCCATAGGGTTAGTAGGTGGCAGGTAGTAGTTGGTATAGGCAGGTTATAGTACAAGCTTCTGGTTTTAGATAAACACACCATTAGTAATGTTTCGTTTGAGTTTGCTCCATGTTTGTGTGTTCAACATGGTGGCAGAAGAACTGAGAATGAACTCACCCATGAAACACCCATTCAAAAACTTGAAGTCATCTTCATCTGAGGTTGGAGGAGTTGCCTGTGCATAGTTTCCAAATAAGTATCTGGGATTTTATACACAGTAACAGATTGAGAAGCTGAAGAGCTGCAGGTTACAATGAAGGTCCTACTTCATTGTCCTAGCAATGGTTTGCAGGCTATTAAACGGTAGGTATGAAACAGCAGACATGCAAGGAGCTGACCTTTCTGAGAAGCTGACTGTCATCTACTCCTCAAATACATATCTAGAACTAAACTCAATAAAGCCTTCTCAGAGCTTGGTTGCAGGAGCAACAGTGTCTGGGACAGGTTTTCCTGTGTTGATGGCGTATGGCTTCAGCAGCAACAGCAAATGATACATCTCCCTCCATGAGATTGCAAAGGGCACTTGCTCTGAATCCAAGATTTTTCTCATACACTCCAAGTCTGTCTTACCCATCCTGGAACAGTGCACAGTGGAAGTCATTGTTTTTAGGTTATAGCTAAAAAGGCAGGATTATTTCTATTTGAATTATAACAGTATAGCTATAATTGTTGAATCTCAGCACCTCATGGTCTTTTAACTTACTGAATTCTTGAAAGGTATGTGAAAGCTATTATTCCGATTTCATAGCCAAGATGAATACACTAAGCACAGGACACTTGGCACAGGGATATAGGCCAAGGGTCTTAGCTCATGGACTTTTTTTTCCAGCCAGAATAAAAGCACCACCCTCCTTTCTGGGCAGTAACACCAGGAAGGGGCTGGTCATTGAATCAGCTGTAAATGCTGGCTTGGTAAATAACCTGCCTTAGGGAGGCACTTCCCTACTTGTCACCTCCCTGCATTCCAGTGGAAGGACCAGCTTTCCTTTTTACTCCCTTTTATTTTTACTTTATAGTTTTCACTTAAAATGAAGCTCTTAAAGACAGGTACGATGTTCAGGTGTTGTTCATGGAGGCAAATTTTGAGTTTTAGACTGAAATACCTATTTATAGGTGGATTAAAGGATAGCAATAGAAACAAGGTTCCAAAGGCCAGAAGATGTAACAGTTTCTTTGACTTAGACTTTGGCCATGGATTCACACTTGTTGGAAACCCCTGTAACAGTTTTACTTCACACTTGTGCTAAGTTGTGTTCAGGTAAGGTGTTTTTCTGGTTTTGTATATGTGTTAAAACCACAGTATGAAAGACGTGTAATCCACACTTTTTAATGGCATCAGATGGAATTCACTGCTTTTGCTTTCATAATCAATAAAAATATTTTATGGAAAGTGGTCATTGTCTCCTTAAATTTAATCGTGTACCTTTAAATAGAGTTGAGCAAGGACTCAAAAAGCATTATGCTTTAGATATACTTATCAAATCATCTTCAGATGACTGGACGGGGGGAAGAGGGAGAGGGCAATACACCCCTGCCACTCCAGAAATCCTAGTTAGGAGATACTCCAGCTGTATTACCCAGTTCTATCAGGCACATATGGACTGTGGATTTCTCCTGATTTCTGGTGGACTGGATTGGGAACACAACTGAGGACTTCGGAACTGCGCTAGTACCTAGAAGATCTACCAAAACTTTAACATGGGCGATTTAAAACCAGAAGAAAATGTAAGGTTATCCATGCTTACACTTAATTTACCTCAGTTATTACCAGATTTCATGTATCAGTGGGCTCTTCTACGTTGTCTCTTTGCAGTAGTTTGCTGTATGTGAATTTACTTCTCTGTTTCACATACACACTTATTTAGCACTTTCATCTGTAGATCTCAAGGCACTGTGCAAAAATAGCGTAATCAGACTTAGTTACCAATAGAAAGGGTTTTATTGAGGTATTTAGTGACGTTGGCAATGTAACAACAATCTTACATAGTTCGATTAATGAAACAGCCATATATCAGCAAAGGATTCTAGAAAAGTTGATCTCTTCTGGTAGTTTACAGTAGGATAAAGTATGAAGGCATGAAATCTCATGCTGTTTAGAATGCTCTTAAAAAACTGCAACAAATTGAACCAGATTTTACCTGTAGTTTCAATGGAGTTGGGTATCTATCTCAGCAGAAATCATTAGGAAAAGCAACAGTTGTAGAAAGACGTGGCATGAAATTCATTGTGTATCTGCCTAGGCAGCAGCATTGCCATGCAGGCAGTGATCAGTACCTCTAAACCTGATGATGCCAGTCAGTTGCTCTCATGGTTAATTGGAACAAGTACTGAAATGGGGTTGATAATATTTAAAGACTATCTTGTATCAGTCTCGCTGCAGTTTAAAGCTGTGCACCAAGCCCATTCCCTTGGCTGTGTCCATTGATGTACAGAAGTTAGGCACAGGTCTCTTAACAAGTAGTTTCTTACCTGCTGGTGATGGTAGGGAGAGATGTGGCCATTATATGTATACATATGGTCAAACTGATGTAATTAGTATAGTTAAGGATAAAAAAAAAAACCGAATACTTGTCCAGTGCTGATAATTAGTACATCCTGGTTTAGCAGCTTTAGTTACAGGATGTATCTCAATAAAACCAGTGTCTGGACTTCAAGTAATTAATAGGATAATTACTATATTATAAATAATATAGTTCTGAAAGCTGCTAACTCTGCTGACGTGGCTTGCAGCACTTCTGAAATGCTTGTGAAAGACAAGTCATTGAGCAGTAGTTGGAGATTGCAACAACCGTTTTCCTTACTACCTAAAATTAGGTACTTAACCTATTTATGGATGTTGAGATAGAGTGGGACTGACTTTAACTGCTGCAGTGGCTGTATGCTCCCATTTAAAAGAAGCATTTAGTATTTGGTCACTTCAGACTAAGTGAATGTGAAGCCAGGTTAGGCAAAACTTACAGTATTGGTGTAAAATTACAGTAGCAAAACTTAAGATGTTAATGGAGTTTCTTCTATGATGACTAAGCAGATTAAATTACAACTAATGCTATTAACTTACTACTGGAATTTATTGTCTTGAAAGTGTATTACAACTTTGCCCTGTTTTAATTAGTGCCTCGATCTCTGTTTCTTACAGAGATTAAAACCTGATTTTTCAGTAATTGCTGTTTATTAGATACCCTGGTTGGTGGGTTTTTGAAGCCTGTTGATTTCAGTTACTCACTGTTTGAGATTCATTGTGACTAACTGCATAAATCACAGGTCTCTACATAGAAGTCAATAGCCAAAACATTAACAACAGGAGAACAGCAAGTGCCTACTAGGGGGAGTTGGATGAACGCCAGTTTGAGGGATACTGTGCACTGGTCAGCACTGACCAGATGTGGAGTTGTTATTCCTATCTTGATAAAGATACAAAGCAAATTCACACACAGTGAACCATTTCTGGCTAATGGGTCTGTTCTGACTGTGAATTGTGAATATGGGGGTCTTTTGAACTATGTCTTGATCTTATATATTAACATAATTTCATTTAAGGTAGTAAATTATTGTGAACAGAACTGCTATAACTGCTTTTAGGCTGTGGGTGCAAATGAGTAATTGGATAAGTCAAGTATTTGTGATCCTTTTTGAATAGCCTTAGATTCACGTTGTTTAGATATTTAGATAATGTTTTGTTTAGTTCCTGTCCTGCCTGCTTTCATTGTCTGTCTCAGCATCCCTCCCTCTCTTACGGGGCAGATTTATGCATGTACTGAATTATTAGCAAATCTTAATCCTGGTAATATAAGTGGTTAATTTTTTTCACGCTTTCATAAATTTTAATGTTTTTTCTAAATATGAAAGAAGGTGAAAATTTGCAACACTTTTCACCTTTTTTTAATCACAAATCTTGTACCTGGAGGAAAAAAACCCCAAACTTTTGGGCACTGAATTTTAAGTGTACAAACAGGAAATAATATGTACTACAAAATGAAAGCTTCCTAAAGCAGAACATCCAGTACCCTCCTAAGCACAGAACTTCATTCTGGACATGTTGTCTTCCGTGAGTGCGAGTGGGAACTGTCCACGTAAAAGGAAGAAAGACAATAACAGACCTAACAGCCCTTTCGGTTTTTCCTCTTTATCAGCAATGTTCCCATCAGTTTAGGATATACTTCTCCAAGGATTCAAGCCTGAATGAAGCTTTCACTAAGGTGTAATTCTATATTTCACTTAGAGAAAGGCCTACGGCATCAAACTGAACTCTGCAGCAGAGGGTTTAAAGTCACCAGGGAAAGTGAATCCAGGCACACATTTAACTCCTTCCTACTTAACCCCTCCTTTGCTTGCTCAGTAGTTAAGCAGTTTCCTTGCTTCTGAAGTCTAGGTGGAAAAAACCCCAAAGGGGGAGTGAGTTCCAATTCTTGATACTGTTTCCAAACACTGTTTGAGGTCATCTTCTCAGTGATTACTGGTATTTGTTTTAACTTGGAGATAGACAAAATGTTTATCGACTGGTGTCAATGTTAGTGGTTTAGCACAGATTGTAACAGAAATAGTTACAAAGTTTAGCCTTGGTTTTGTGCTTTTCAGTATCTCTGCATATACAACATTTGCCAACTATTTAAATTATGATTTCAAACCTATTGCTGTAATCTTTTATTTAAAGTATCAAGGAAGGGATTAAAACATTACCTATTGTATACAAGTATATATAAAAAGTAAAGAAATGTATATGCTAATGAAAGTTGCCAGTAAGTCATGTAATGGAATTTAGAAAACCCTCTTATTTTTATGTCTTTTGTAGCTGCCACTATATAAAATACTAAGTTTCTACTGAAAGCATAATTAAAACCTAGGTTTTTACATCTACAATCTTTGTGTTTCCTTTCAGGTCTTGAGTCGTCTCGGCCAAATTTAATCCTTGGATTGGTTATCTGTCAGAAGGGGAAGCGTCCCGCCACTGGCATGGAAACAGAAAAGCCAGAGGAAAAGCGAAGCCGGATTCAAGCACATGAGGAAAGTGGGACGCTAGCAGCTTCACAGGAGAAGAAAGCTCCAAAGTACACCCATTATTCAGGAGACCCTGCCATAAGTACAACACCACCTGGATCTCCTCCGCCTCCACCGCCACCACCTCCACCTCCCGCTCCAGACACCTCAGCAGTCACACCTTCAGTGTTAAAGATACTGTCCTCAATCAAAAGTGGAACCACAACTACTGCAGCACCACCAGCTCCAACTGCTGCTTCTGCCAGCACTGCTGCTACCCATTCTTCATCCACCAAAACGGCCACACCGCTCGAGCACATCCTGCAGACGCTTTTTGGCAAAAAGAAAACTTTTGAGCCTGTTGCTAAGGATCCTGAAACTGCCCAGGCCTCAAATCAGGAAAGTCAGGCTGCTGCTGATGGGGGAATTGCAGCCGTTCCTTTGTTAGATCCCATTGTGCAGCAGTTTGGCCAGATGTCAAAAGACAAAGCTATAGAAGAGGAGGAGGATGACAGACCATATGATCCTGAAGAAGAATATGGTCCAGAGAAAGCTTTTGAAATGCAGATTGGTGACAGTGAAAAACGATATAATGCGGAAAAGCCACCAAATACAGCAGAACTAGAGGATGAGGCCTATGATCCAGAAGATGAAACTATCTTGGAAGAAGCAAAAGTGACTGTTGATGACTTACCTAACAAAATGTATACAGATTCTAAAAGCAATTCCTCAGAAACATCTGCTTCATACGTCCCCGATTTATCTGCATCCTCATCCTTGGTAGAACAGCAAAAGATGTTGGAGGAATTAAACAAACAGATAGAAGAACAGAAAAGACAACTAGAGGAGCAAGAAGAAGCCCTCAGACAACAAAGAGCAGCTGTCGGTGTTTCCATGGCTCATTTTTCAGTGTCTGATGCTTTAATGTCACCACCACCAAAATCTTCCCTACTAAAACCTGAAGTATTCCACCAGGACCAGCAGGGTACACAAAAAGTAGACTTACCTTCCTCTTTAAATCAGCAAGCACAACTTGTAAACCAGGGTTGTGACCCACGGCAAAGCAGAGATCCTCGCCAAGCTCGGAGGATGGCAACAGAGACTAATGACAGTGCTGATGCTCGATTAAAGCCCCAGGTGGTACAGAATGAGATGGCCACAAGAGAAATGGCTCCAGCCGGTTTTCCAAATGCTTTGCAGACATCACTTGGTAAGGAGGATAAAGCTGCTCAGCCTGCTTTTACTAGTGATAATTGGGTTTCAAGTGAAACCATCAAGGCTTCCACAGTGTCCCAGAAAGAGTCGTCTAATAGCAAATTTGAAAACACTCTCCAAATCACTTTGGAAAACGTGAAACAAACAGCCTCTGGAGAACCTTCGACCAAACCTTTACGTAAGGTGCTGCTTCCAACACCTCCAAGTACATCTTTCCAGCCTAATTTCCCCACATCAACTGACAGTCAGTCTTTGCATGATATGCATAAAGTGTCGTGGTCAGATGAGTCAAACGAAATGATGGGAAGAGATTCTTTCTCAAATCCAATGTTTACTTCTCAGGAACAGGCAGCCGGTCACTTTGAACCAGAGAGGGGTCTTTCAGCAATGCAATATGATGAGCAAAGAAATCAATCTCATCAATTTGTAGAACAAGCTGAATCTCCATCAGTTCAGGGTGAGGGTGGACCTTCCCAACAGCACTTTGAAGAAAACCGAGCTGGACCTCAGTTTGGTTTGTCGGGGCAGAAAGGAGGACCTCCACAACCACTCATGCAACCCGGAGGACCTCATGGACCTAATTTTAGAGGACCAGCACCACAGTTCCCTGAAGAGCATGGTTTTCCAAACAATGATGGGCAAAGAGGACCTCCATCCGGAAGATTCGGAGGTCAGAAGGGTCCCATTCCTTCCTTATTTTCTGCACAGCATGGACCATCCTCTCTTTTTGTTGATAACAGGGGCCCTGCCCCTCCTTATCATGGTGTTCCAAGAGGAATGTCACCATCTCAGTTTGAAGATCCCAGGGAACCTCACATGGAACAAAGGGAATTCTCAGATTCCCAGTATAATGAAATGATTAGGCCTCCAGGGCAGTTTGAAGGACCAGATCAACCTCAGTTTATGGGAAACAGAGGACCTTCGCCTTTCCCTTTTGGAGGTCAGAGACGACCCCCACCAGCTCAGTTTAAAGGACAGAGAGGAGGCCCTCAGTTTGGAGGGCCAAGAGGTCCAGCCCCGAGTCATTTTGGGGGACCAAGAGGGCCTCACCCAAATCAATTTGAAGGGCAGAGAGGACCAGCTCCAAATCATGTGCCTGGTCCAAGAGGACTTTTGCCACAGCCGTTTGAAGAACGGAGAGGGAATTCACCACCCAGATTTGCCAACCAGAGAGGTCCAGCACCAGTTCAGTTTGGAGGACCAAGAGGATCCACACCTGGGATGTTTCCAGAAGAAAATGAACCTCCCTCTTCTAGGTTTCATTTCCAAGGTCAGTCACAAGGCATGAAGACAACCCCAAGACCACTCCTGGACCTTCCAAACCATCCGTCCCACAGAAAAGAGATGTGGGATGAAGCTGGACCATCTGCATCTGGTTCCAATATTCCTGGACAAGGACCTGACTCGGAAGGACAGTGGTCAGCACCTGACTTCCGAGAAGGCAAAAATCCTGAGTTTAGAGGCCAGGCATTTGAAGGGAGACAGAGAGACAGATATGAGGGAGGAAATAAAGACAAGGGCTTAGATCAGCCAGAGTCTCAGCAAGCAGATAATCGACAAGGTAGACCCTTTGAGGAAAGACGAAGGGATCGAGAGCACAGCAGACCTTGGGAAAGAGACCGTGGCAGAAACTGGAATAGAGACCGGGACTGGGAGAGACACAGAGACAAGGATTGGGACAAAAATAGAGACAGAAACCCAAACAAAGACAGAGAGAAGGATTCGGACCGAGGTAAGGACTGGGAAAGAAGCAGAGACCGAGACAGACCAAGAACCAGAGAGAGAGACTCCTACAGAAGACGTGACAGAGATCGATCGAGAAGCAGAGACAGAGATCGCGACAGAGACAAAGACCGGGACCGGGATCGGAGCAGGGAAAAAGACAGAGACCGAGAGAGAGATCGAGATCGTGACAGAGACAGAGGAAAAGATCGCAAAGATCGGAGCAAAAGTAGGGAAACCAGTAAAGAGGTGAAGCCTGAAACACCGAAGGAAACTCAGAAACCATCAGAAACAGAAGCTTCATCTTCCACTAATCAAGCATAGAACTAAGACTGATATTTCCCATAATTAATAGACTTTTAGAACACAGCATGGACTGAAGCAACATCTTGTACATACTGTATATTCTCACCTTTACAGGAATCCCTTTGTAAAACTAGCCTTACACAATGTCCTGACAAATAATAAGCAATTTTGGAACAACTGTGAATGCAACTACTCGAATGGGTAAAAGGCAAGAACACACCGGACTGTCACTTGCTGCATTTTGTGCATAATGTTTTTCTTATCTGAATTCACAGCGTTACCTGTACTGAGATTTTGGTTTTTCTACTTGCATCTTTATCTTAAAGTTTCCATTTACAGTACAGAAATGGAAAAAGTCTAAGAAGAGCATATTGCTTTTTAAGATTATAAAGTTATGTTTTCCAGTAACTTGAATTGTAATTTTATAAGAGAATTTAATCCAGACTTTAGGAGCCATACTTTTACATCTCATTTACGTGATATTTTGGTGTCAAAAGTTGATCCTACAGCACATGCTTTAATAAAAAGAAGTCCAATGTTGCTGTCTTGTTTATTTGACAACAGAAGGGTCATGTCTATTTAGGCAAAGGCTGCAGAAGAACAGTGTTAATAACTACTTGTGACTGATGAGGATTTGAAAACGGAGTGTTATAAGCTTAAAGTGCACTGTCTTCCTTTTTATATACAGGTATTTTGTGGTTTGGAATCCCTCTGTTAAGTGTACAGCAAAGAAACAAGTCATCCTTGGGGGGGTTTCATGAGGGTGAGGGGTTTTCATTGTCACGTTTTTACAGATCTGTCATTAAAGAACATAAAAGAGGAGCACCTTTACAACCAGCAAAACTTAAGAAAGCCTCAGTTCTCTGAACAAGGCTAAGACTCAAATGGGTTGGCTTACCAAAGGGAAGTAGTTGGTTAAATTGGCAGCTGAATCTGTTCCTTTGATTGAACTGATTTAGTGGAGCATTTCTGGGGTTTGCTTTGATTTTCCAGAACTTTCCCATACACTTAAGAAATTCCCTGGGGCTTTTTGTTTTGTTGTTGGAGCCTGCTTAGCCTGATAGTGTCTATAAACCTGTCCACTGAAAAAGGTACAACTGCATTGAGCTTGGAAAGGAGAGCAGCGGGACTTCACGTTGGATTCAAGCGGGACTTTTCGCTGTGAAATCCATCACACGGCTCCTTTTCATGTGGTCCTCATTCTGAAATGTGAAATAACCCCCGCTAATTTATTTGACCGTGTAAATGCACAGTTGGGTAAATATTTTGATATTTTTATAAGATAGTTTTGGAGATATAAAACGAGTTTCCTCATAAACATTTACATCTTGGAGACTGCGAGTAGCGTGTAAGCCACGTGGCACAGTTCACATCGGCGCATCTTTGAAGCCCTGCTACATGGAGGATTTGCTGGTGGAAATGATCATCTGTATCCTGAACCTGTAGACACAGCATTACAATGAAAATGCAACCATCTCCTATGATGTAAGATTTCTTTTCTTAATGTTTCTAATTTAAAGACACCCATAAAAGTATGCAAGGAGTGTGCTTGTTTAGGTTTACTTGATAGAAATCTCTGTAAATTGTATTTTATATGGCAAATTATATCGCTGTACATGAAAATACGGGACTTGGCAGGTTTTTGTTACTGTAAAGTAGAATAAACATCTACAGAGAGCTGTTGTCCCCTTCTTAAATCTCTATGTGAATGTTGCTGTGTAATTGTTGCTGCTTCTCAATGAACCACAGGAGACTGATGGCGCATAGGTTCCTTTCCTCATTGTTTAACGAAAGAAGATGCATCACTATCAAGTGAGGTTTGGTTTTAGGCATTCTAAAAAGCCTGTGCAAATCTGTGCTTCTGAGTTTGAGTTCTAAAACATGCTCTAGTTTATTCTGAAGGGGTTTTTTGTTTGTTTGGATTAGGAAGTTTGTGATTTGTAGATTTTACAATAAAAAATGGCTAAAGAAAAAATATATTCAGGTCAGCTTTGAGGTTAAGAAAATCTCATTCACAACATGTATGAATTCCTTGAATTTATATGGAATAGATGTATAGCTTTTCATCTAAGAAACACTCCTGTGTCATAGATCAGCTTGGGGAATCTCTTCTGACTTGAGAACACTAAATGCATCCTGGCATTTAATGGCCAAAAAATCACCAGCATCGAGTCAGGCATTAACGACTTTATTAAAGCACAGCTTTAGACAGTTTATAATGACCTGGACCTGGATTTTGCAGCCAGGTCCCTGTGCTCACTGGGGAGACCTTAAGAGCAGCTCCAGTGCCTAAAAGGGCTGCAGGAAACCTGGAGAGGGGCTTGGGACAAGGGCCTGTAGGGACAGGCCAAGGGGAATGGCTTGAACCTGCCAGTGGGGAGACTGAGCTGAGCTCTTAGGCAGAAGCTCTTCCCTGTGAGGGTGCTGAGGTGCTGGCACAGGGTGCCCAGAGAAGCTGTGGCTGCCCCATCCCTGGCAGTGTTCAAGGCCAGGTTGGACACAAGGGCTTGGAGCAAGCTGCTCCAGTGGAAGGGGTCCCTGCCCATGGCAGGGGTTGGAGCTGGAGGAGCTTTAAGGTCCCTTCAACCCAAACCAGGCCGGGAATGTCATTGCTGTTGCAGCCGCATTCAGGTCACCGCGGGTCCCCCTGCTCTTCTCAGTTTCCTGGCCGTTCCCTCAACGGCCCGACTTGGACAAAGCCCCAGCCCCTCAGGGTCGGGTCCCCACCCGATATCGGGATCGATATCGCGATCAATCACAACACGCTCACCGCACGCTCCAACCACCGCCTATGGGCGGGGCGGGGCGGGGCGCAGGCGGTCACGCGGTCGGTCACGCGGGCGGCTGTTGGCGGCGGCGCGCGCGGGGGGGGGCCGGGTCTGTGCGGGAGGCGTTGGGGGGGGAGCGTTGGGGCGGGCCTGAGGAGCGGCGGCTCCTGCTCCCCACACCGGGCCCGGCGCGTCCCTGTGCTGCGGGGACACCGCTGCCCCCGGGGCCCCTGAGGCCCATGGGCGCTGCTGTGAGGGAGCCGTAGGTACCTGGAGCCACCCGTTCTTAGCGGGGCGTGCGGCAGGGGAGATCCGTGTCTGTGAGCGGGAGGGAGGGTGGAGAGGCCGCGTGTGGTGAGCCGGCGGTGGTGCGCTCGGTGTTTATAAACCGAGCGGGGGGGGGTTTCCTTGTTTCCCTTCTGTTTTCATTTTTAAATGGATAACACTGCTAATTCTGCCAGGGTTTATGCTTTAGTGTTCAAAGAGACGTTGGTAACCGATTAGGTTTACTGTAGTCATGTCAGGATCGGCCCCGGAGCAGCCTCAGACCTCCATCCCTCAGAGCACACCCAGTGTTCCCGATCCCGCTCCGGTTGCTGTCGGACCTGGAGGCTCAAGGGACGTTTCCTTTGGTGAGCAAAACCTTAGCTTCACCGCCCCAGACGTCAGCCTGGCGGAGATGATGGAAGTTGAGTACACCCAGCTGCAGCACATGCTTTACCCACCCGCCGAGGCGCAGGCCAGCCAAGGTGAAGCGCAAGCCAGGCTCAGTGCTTTCTCCTCCTCCTTGCCTGGTAACCCTGCAGCCCCCCCCCGGCAGCCCTCACCGCGCACCAGGCAGGAGCGGGGTTTAGCCACCAGCACTGGGATCCCAGGGTACCCGGTTAGCTGCCAGTCGGGGTTACTGGCTGAGAGCAGTTCAAACCCACGGCTGGGCTATGGTGACCTGCAGGAGCTCAGGATGATGTTACTTAGCGAGTCTAACCTCCCTTTGAGCCACACAGATAAAATGCCTCACAGTAGCTCGGTAGCAGTCCCGGGACAGAGTTTAGCAAAAGTTAAATATGGTGAGAATGGTGGGAGCAATAAAGGAAACGTACTTGTTGAAAATTCGGCACCAGAGCCTAGATCTAAACCTGCAGTCAGAGTTCGGTTGGAAGACAGATTCAACAGCATCCAGACAGAGATCCCCAGATGTCAAGAGCCCCAAGAATCTGGAGTAACCCGTAACAAGTGTGTTGCAATTACTTTTAGTTTATGTTGTTAGACTGTGTTATCGTCGTAGATTTCAAAGCTGGTTTTCTAAATGAAGCTTAAGAGCCATACTTTGATTTAACACGTGAGAATGATGAGTTGGGCTTTCTAAAAGGTGGCTGCAACTCCACTGACTCAGATTAGGGCCCTCTGTACATTGCATGAATGGTGCAGCATGCAGTTCCAAACTGCATTAGTTTACAACTTTATTCTTGATAACAACATGCAATATAAATGGAGGTGAGAGAAGAACATTTAACATGCAGCTTGCTAAAAGGAAAGGAGATTACCTTTTTATCATAATAAAATATTAAGGGCTGTTGGTTAGTGTTACAAGATAGTGGCCTGACTATGGGGAAAACTTTGAGCAAAGATACTGTTACACCCCTGGCCCTGTAACTGTGTTTGTGTGCTGATGAAACATCTCATTGAGGCATAAAGCCTGTGTTACTGCACAGAATGAAATACCTTCTCAGCTGATTGTCCCTGAAGCAGGCAGTATGGCAATAAGAATGATTTCTCTTTACAGTAAATGGAAGTAATTTCTTGGTGGTAGTGACTAGGAGTATGTGTAGCTGTACATCTTTGTGTGCTCATTTTCAGGTAGTCAGTCTGGTATGTTCTCTGTGTTGTGTCTTTGTGTGTGTGTGTTTCTTTTTAAGTCTAGTAACATTGATTCGACAGCCGTCTGAACTGATCGGTGTTCCTCTCCATCAGCAAGAAAACAAGTGTGCTGCACTAGGGAAAAATAAGACATCCCCTGCCACTCCTTCCTCACAGTTCCCATACCCAGTATTGACTATGAATGCATATTCTACTGCTGGAGGTGCCAACCCTTCACAAGCACAGGTAGGTAACACAGTCACCTCTAGTGCTCTGCTGATTTCAAAAGCTAATAGTGTTAACCTCTTAGGTGTAATATAATTCTAGAGGTTTGTGTTGAAGTGTGACTTGGTTTGAGTAGGGCTGGTTAGAGTGAGCCGTATTTGTTTAGTCTTACATCAGTCTTTAAGACCATCCAAAAATCCTTGCTCAAATCAATGGTGTGGCATTTGTAACAACCTGCATCCAGATAATGATCAGTAGGCTGTTAGATTTATTACTAGAAAGACTGTATTCTTGAGTACATCAGTGCATCATCAGCTTTGTCTGTGCAAGACAAGGAGATACATGATACCATTTTCCATGGTTCCTTTCTTTCTAATCAATTCTGATGGAAGATAGATTTCCCCCTCCAAATTCAAGAGTGATAGCGTGGCACTGAGAAGAGTCAGAGGTATCTCCCAAAAAACCTTGTGTCTGTCAAAATCCCAAGGTTGTGGGCAGAACTAATGGAGATTTATTCTGATAAAATAAACTGAATCACAATTGAATCACAGGTCTAAAACTTAAAAAGTTAACATGAAGATACCAAAACAGTCTCTTTTTTATGTATATAGCCCTCTAAGTTACAGGTTAAAACTTAAACAGGGGAAGTTTAGATTGGATCTAAGGAGGAAATTCTTTCCTGTTAGGGTG